ACAGGCTTCTCGGAATTCAGCGCTAAGGGCTCCCCCGGTTCTTCCTGCAGACGAGATGCATGTGGCACTCAAACTCTGTGACCAAAGTTAAGATGACAAAGCTCCCCTCCCCGGCACACACGCACCCCCGTCTTCTTCTAAGAACAAAATGAAACAGTTCTTGTAAGCAACTGCCGCACCTTGGCCCGGCGGCCACTTCCTTCCGGTGCTTCCACATCCTGGCCGGCCACCGCCGCCATGGGGATAGGCCCCAAGCTCGGAGGTCCCGCACGTTTTCGGTTGACATGTAAGCCCTGGACCCTGGCCTGGAAGGCTAAGTGTCTGGCCGGAAGATGCTCACAGCCCAGGATCTGTCCTGTTAAAGATGGCTGCGCTCCAGAGCTGTCTTCCATCAACTAAATGTTTATATTTAAATACTGTGACTGCAGCCTGGGTGGGGAGGCTGCCCGCCATCCTGCAGGACACACATGAAAGCCAGGTGCTTTAGGCACGTTCTGTATATTCCAGCCCTCCTGATAATCCTTTTTTTTTTTTTTTTTTTTTAAAAAGCCAATTGAGATAAAATTCACACAGCTATAAACTCCACCCTTTAAAAGTATACAATTCAATGGCTTTTAGAAACATCATGGAGTATGCAACCATCACCACTATCTAATTCCAGAACATTCTCATCACCCCACAACGAAACCCCGTGCCCATCAGCAGTCGCTTCCTCTCTCCCTTTATGGGCTAAATCACATTCCCCGGCCCCAAAAGACATACTGAAGTCTTAACCCCCCAAACCTGTGAAGGGACCCTGTTTGGAAGTGGGGTCGTTGCATATGTAATTAACTTAAGATGAGGTCACGCTGGAGGACGGTGGGCCCTAGGCCAGTGACTGTTGTCCTTATAAAAAGAGGGAGATCTGGACACAGACACCGGGAGACAGCCATGTGATAGAAGCAGAGATCGGGTGATGCGTCTACAAGCCCTACAAGCCAAGGAATGACCAGGATGGACGGCCGCACCAGAAGCCGCGAGAGAGGCAGGAAGGACCCTCCCTGGGGCCTCTGAGAGCCCTGAGCCCACAGCAGATAAGAGCTGGCCTGGGATCTAAGCCCGGCTGTCCCCACGTCCACGGCCTTCACTCCACCCAGACGGAGAGGGGCTGTCGGGCGCACACGGCCCAGCGCCACGATTCTCCTCCGAACCTCCTTCCTCAGTCTCAGTTCCCCATGGGGACAAGCGCGATTTTCTGTTCAACAGAACGGTGTCACGGGGGGTGGGGGTGGGGACAGAAAGGAGAGAAACGCGGGGGGAGGTCGTGGGCAGTGTGTCTGTGTAGGAGCCACACCTCTTCCGTCTGAGGACCGGTCTGAGGCTGCAAGAGCCGTCACCGCGTGTTTAACTGACCTGAGTCCCGCGTGTCAGAAAGGGTAGCGGACAAGAAACCACGGCCCGATCTCCCGTCCACCGCGAGCTCCCCCTCGCTGGCTGCCCAAACTTCCTCTCAACATCAGGGTCCTCGGGATCTGGACTTGCCTGTGCACTGACCCAGTCTGTGGGGAGGGCGTCCACCAAGGACCGCACTCTCTCTCTCCAGGCGCCGGCAAGAGCTCCTGCCACGCTCAGCTGCAGCCGTGGGTCTCGAATGAGGTGACCCCGCCCCCAGGGGCCACGGGGGACATCTGTGGTTGTCACGACTGGGGATGCTCCTGGCACCAAGTGGGTGGAGGTCAGGGAGGCTGCATCACACCCCACGGCGCCCGGCACGGCCCCTGCAGAGAGTGACCTGGCCCCCGATGTCTTATTTGGGACTCAGGAGCTGGAGGAATGACCATCTCCTTCCCAGAACTCGGTTTCTGAAGTCGGATTCGCCTCTTTTGCTGCAGCAATCTGAACCTCGCAATTCCAGGAAGTCAAGAGCGGGGCTCACCAGCTGGGGCACGTCCAAAAGTTCCCACAGTAAAAACCCGAGTTCCAAGCCGGCTGCCTGGGGAATTTCTGTTCAACCTCCATTTCGAGAAGCCCTGGAGATGTGAGAGCAGCTCCTGGAATGATGGTTAATGGCTGACTTTTCCATGAACTCTGGCTGGCTTGGGAGTGTCATCACACATGAAACAGACTAGCTTAACCTTCTTAGGAATACGAATCATCTAGAGTCCTGGAACTGAAAACAGCACTTCCAAGAACCCCCTCAGGGACTAAGATAACCACTTATGCTTTTGCTGAGAGACAGAGGTGATCTTAGAGCTCAGCTCGTCACAGCTATTTGGGGTACCCGGTGTGCGAACGCCACGGCCCAGATTTTCAAGATGATAGAGTTACTTTTCTCCTTTAGGGAGGTCCAGACAGAAAGCAAACTATCGAGCCACGAAGAGACATGAGGAACCGTAAACACCCACCACGAAGTGACCAAAGCCCGCCTGAGAAGACGACACTGTGATTCCAACTCTGTGATGCTGTGGAAAGGGCAGAGCAGAAAAGGACCAGTGGTTGTGGAAGACAATGGGGGTGGGGGCTAAGGGACACATGAATGAAGGGCACAGGGGGTTTTTAGGGAAGCAAAACTACTCCGTGTGATAAGATGATGGGTACATGTCAGTACACACTGTCCAAACCCAGAGAGCATACAACACCAAGAGTGAACCCAGGGGACTTCCCTGGTGGTGCAGTGGTTAAGAATCCGCCTGCCAGTGAGGGGCACACGGGTTCGAGCCCTGGTCCGGGAAGATCCCACATGCCGCAGAGCAACTAAGCCTGTGCGCCACAACTACTGAGCCTGCACTCTAGAGCTCGTGAGCCACAACTACTGAGCCCATGCGCCACAACTACTGAAGCCTGCGCGCCTAGAGCCCGTGCTCCACAACGAGAAGCCACCGCAATGAGTAGCCCGCACACCGCAACAAAGAGTAGCCCCCGCTCGCCACAACTAGAGAAAGCCCGCGTGCGGCAACGAAGACCCAACGCAGACAAAAATTAAAAAAAAGAAAAGAAAAAAAGAATAAATGCCATGGAACACGTTGAAATATAATGTACACCACGTATGTAATTTTTAACCTTTTGGTAGCCACACTGAAAAATAAAAAATGAAAAAAGTGACTTCAACATTGATAAATATATACTATTTAACCCAAGGGCACCACAACATCACTTCAACACCTAACAAACACAGAAAATATTAAGGAAATAATTTGCACACACTCCCCACCCCACCCCCACCTTAACACACAGTCTCCGGAAACTGGTGCATCTCTTACACGAATGGCGCATCCCATTTTGGACCAGCCACGTTTCAGGTGCTCACTAGCCTGGCTGCTGCACTGGACAGCCCAGCTCCGGGGCGGTTTAAAAGGGGAAAACTCACCTGTCAGAGGACAGGAGCAATGGGATGGGTGCTGTCTGAGGTGGGCGCTGGATTCGGACCCCGGGGAGGGGAGAGGCTCTGGATCAGAGAAGGTTGAGGTTTGAGGTGAACAAACAAAGGGCGCCTCCGGAAGGGAGGGGAGAAACAGGGCGCCCCAGGGTGCAGGCAGGGGCGGGGCAGCCAGGACTTCCACTTGCTCCACTCCATAATCAGTACAACGGACACTGACAGGCTACCATGAACTTGGGGTGGGGGGGAGGTGGGTGGACGGGTGCTCAGGGCTTTGGGAGGCTGCAGCGCCCTGTCCTGACACTGGCCAGGGCCAGGATTCTTGGCATCACTCCGCGCTGAGTCTGTAAAATGGGCTAATAAAAGCCCCTGAACTTTATGTTGCGGAGAGGGAAGAACAAAGAAGCCGCCGGCGGGGGCCACGTGTAACAGAAGCCAAGTCCAAAATCACGAAAGTGCGGACAGGCAGTGGGGGTGAAATATGCAAAATGCTCGCGCATCACATACCAAAATTTATCCAAGTGTGTGCTGTGAATGTGTGCAGTTCACTGCATGTCAGTTGAGCCTCTATAAAAGGTGGGGGAAAAAGAAAAAAAAAGATGCAAGGAGCAGAAGGCACATATGAATAAAGACTGGAAGACTCTTACCCCAAAATGAGCAGTGAGTGGCTCTCTGGGTGGGAGCATCACTCGCAATTTATTTTCTGCTTTGCGACTCTCCGTCACAAAGAGAATCACCCCGATCACACACCCCCTTCCCTCCTCAGTGACATTTTGTAAAATACATGGGCCTTTAAAGCAAACGCAAGCCCTACAGCCAGTGCACAGACGGAGCGGTGGAGTCAGCCAGTGGGCAGTGCGGACACGCAAACACCTCCCACTGCTCAGGGGTTCTGGGGACCAAGAAGCCTGCTTTCAGAGGGCGGGGTCCCGGTGTTGCTGGGAGCCGTAAAATCCCGTGGACTTTACATCCACACCAGGAGGTGGGGTCCTGGTTACTGACACGGCCAGGGGGTGACCCCCAAAGTGACATATGTAACCCCTAATTCCACCAAGGGCCGCCACCGTTCACCCCTCTGAGGGGCCCGGTCTCCCCGCCGCCCGCGGTCTCCTCTCCTGAGGGGCTCGGTCTCCCTAACGCCCGCGGTCGCCTCTCTGAGTACCCACCTGCCGCCTGCCGCCAAAAGAGTCGGGCCAAGCTCGCCGCTGATCCGAGTCCCCGGGCCGCTAGCCAGCGTAGCCTCGCCGCCAGACCGGAGAAGCTCCGCGCGCGACTACCCCGCCCCCCGGCCGGATATACTTCCGCTCCGGGCCGAGGCCTCCCCGGCTTCCGGGGAGGCCTGCGGGCGGAGCTTGCTCGTAGAGCGGGGCGGGGCCTTGAATAGAGGCCAGTCTGGAAGGAGGAGCTTGCGCCGGCCTATGGCGCATGCGTAGAGCGAGGTCGCGGACGGGGCCCAACAGAGAGGTGGACCCTCCCCGGGAGCGGCGGCTCGTGGGCGGGGCCTGAAAAAGGAACCGGTGCCCTCAGTTGTCCGTTGCGGGGGCGGGGCCTACGCCAGGGGCGGGGTGCGGGGGGGGCGCGGCCCGGGCCCGAGACGGCGTCGTTGGTTGGTGCCCGGCTGGGGGCGTGGCAGGAGACACCGTTGGTTGGTGCGCGGCGGAGGGGCGTGGCGCGGGAGGCGCCGTCGGTTGGCCGGCGGCGGGCGGGGGCGGGCCATGGCGCTGCTGCTGTGCCTGGCCCTGACAGGGGCGCTGGCCCGCGGCTGCTTGCACTGCCACGGCAACTTCTCGGAGAAGTTCTCCTTCTATCGCCATCACGTGAACCTCAAGTCCTGGTGGGTGGGCGACATCCCCGTGTCGGGCTCGCTGCTCACTGACTGGAGCCAGGACACAGTGAAGGAGCTGCACCTGGCCATCCCCGCGGAGATCAGTGAGTGCGGGGCCCCGCCCGGGAGCACCCCCGGCCCAGTCAGGCCCCGGCCCGCTCACACGCCTCCTCCTGCCGTCCCCAGCCTGGGAGAAGCTGAACCAAGTGGCGAACGTCGTGTACCAGAGGATGGATCAACTGTACCAGGGGAAGCTGTATTTCCCTGGTAAGGGGGCGACCGCCACGCATGGGGAACTGAGGCAGAGCCCACCCGCCCCATGACACCTCAGGTCCGCCCGCCAACTGTGGGTGACCCCGCACCCCTTGCCTTCCCGCCATCAGGATATTTTCCCAACGAGCTGCGAGCTATCTTCCGTGAGCAGGTGCACCTCATCCAGAATGCCATCATCGAAAGTGAGCAAACGAGGGCTGAGGGGGAGGGACGGTGCTGCTGCCCAGGGCCTGAGGACCCAGGGCCACGCGAGTATTTCAGTCTCCTTCCAGGCCTGGGGTCCCGGCCAGGTCGTGGTGAGGCTGGAGTATTGTGAATAGGGCGTCTGGCCTGGTGCAGCCAGGTGTCAGAACTCAGGAAGGGCAGAAACGGGGGAGAAGGGCCACACCCTGAGGGGGTCCCTTTTCATCCAGTGGGCACCAACAGGAGGCCTTGAAGGATAAATCCCACCCGTCCCTGCTACCTCCCCCCAACGGGTCCCTGGAGGCCTCAAGAGTCTTGCGGCCGCCCTCCCCCGTGCTTTGCCCCATCCCAGGCTGAGGCCCACCTAAGTGGCCAACGGACAGGCCCTGAGCCTTGGGCAGCCTGGGAGGGGGAGAGAGCGGGGGACAGGCCAGGCCTGCTAAGAAGGCGCCGGCTGTGCTCTCGTCCCCCCACAGGCCGCATCGACTGTCAGCGTCACTGCGGTGAGTGAGCCTCTGTCCGGGTTATGGGGTGTTGCAGCAGTGGCGGCAGCTCGGGGCCCCAGAGGCTGAGGGTGAGGGTAGGGTGCGGCCGCCTCTGGTGTGTTACAGGCATCTTCCAGTACGAGACCATCTCCTGCACCAACTGCACGAACTCACACGTCGTCTGCTTTGGCTACAACTGCGAGTAGGGCTCAGACGCGGGCGGCCCCCCGCCCCTGGGGTCCAAGGCTCTCCCTGGAGGGTCCCCTCATCATCCGGGCAGGGGATGGAAGCCCCCCACCTGGCCAGTGAATGTGGGCCGCGCCCCCTCCACACCCCATGTCCCCGCAGGTCGTCTGCAGAGTGGGAGACAGCAGTGCAGGGCCTCCTCCAGCACATGTGAGTCAGGGCAGCTTGGCTCGGGGAGGAGACCCCGATCAAGGCCTCTTGGCCCTGACTAAAGTCCTGCTGTCGTTGTAGAAATAACTGGAGCAAGTAAGTAGTTCCCACTCCCCAAAGGCAGTGTGCGTGTGCGTCCTCGTGGGTGAGTATGCGCCGGGGCAGCCACAGAAGGCAGCACCTGCCCCCGATGTGGTGGGCCCAGCCCCTACCTCCCAGGGTCTCTGAGCTCGGCTGGCACAAGGGGCACATCCCGGTCAAGGGGTCCCCAGAGTCTGGCCCTACCCCTGCCCCAGGCTGGTGGCAGGCTGTGGTCGGAGCCGGGGAGGGCGCCCCCTGGTGGAGGCGTGCCCCAGTGGAGGCGCCTCAGGGCCACAGGCACAGCCTCAGCCCCAAAGCTCAGAGTTAACTGGGACCCCGTTGTGTCTTTCAGACAGAACACCAACACAAGGTAAGCCCCCCCCCCACCCCGGCCTGTCCTCCTGGAGCGGGGGTGTGTGGCGTGGGGCTGTCCCGGTCAGTGGGGGAGGGCAGGGGTGTTGGATGGGGTGGGCGAAGCCGGGCAGGGCTCCCTCTCTGCACCTGGGACATGTGGACATCACCTCTGCAACTCCGCCCATGCCATCACTGCGTGAATAAACATGAGCTCCTCCTGCCCCTCGCCTGGACACACAGAACCACTCCAGCCTTTCGAGTGACCCAGTGCGGGGAGGCCGCAGGGACATGGGTGGACTCCCAGGGCAGGAGTTGTGCGTAAGCCAGAGATCGGAACCCCATGCCCCCCCGCATTGCTGCCTTTGCAGCCCTAGTCGTGGGAGTGTAGGGCGTGACCCCACTGCTGTCCCAGGGATGTGAGAACAGGCAAGGCCTCCGAGTTCAGCTTGAGGGTCTGTCTGCAACCCTGTCACATGCCCAGCTGGGATGAGGGGCCCAGGCCTCCAGCAAAACCCCACCAGGGAGAGCAAGGTGTGGGAGGGGAAGGACTGGGGCACCCACGTCTCCTTGCAGCTTGATATCACCAAGCTTCAGGTGTCTGGAGCCCCCGCACCTGGCCAACCTGACTCTGGAAAACACCTCCAAGTGCCTGATGCAGCACTGAGGGCGGCCAGGCCAGCGAGACCCGCCCCCGCCACGGTGCGGGGCCTCCGCTGGACCGCCTCGGCCTGGTGCTGTGGAGCAGGCCTGCTGCTGTCTGGGTGCTCCACCCACCTCGGAGCCCCGGCTAGGCTGGGCTGGGCTGGGGCTGGGAGGACGGGAAGGGAGGTAGATGGGTTTGTATATAGCGGCGGGATCACAGCTGTCTGAGGGAATGATTAAATATCCCTGACATTTCTCATCCCGAAGTAGTCCTTGTTGGGGCTCCGGGCTAGGGCCCCAGGTGAGGTGCGACCTTGGCCTACAGGGCAGGACTGCGGGGCTTCCCAGGCACGCACGGCAACCAGCCTTCAGGGCAACTGGTTCTTTTGATGACACGAAAGGAGGCTGTTTGGTGAAAGCCAGGGCCAGCATCGGTGCATCTTGGGGCTCCTACCACATCAGCTGCATTTCAGCCGAGGCACGGGAACTGCTGTGCCCACCGCTTGGCTTCTTGGTTTTGAGAAAACGCCCAACATGGGTCATGAGGGGACAGACCCAAACTGTGACCCAGGGCTCAACACCCATCCAGCAGACGGGAGGTGCCTCTGTGCCCATGGATGCCGTGGTGAGCCCAACAGTTGTCTGGCTCCTGGGCTGGCCCTTCCCAGCCTGGTCATCCCTTCCCCCAGCTAAGGGGTCCCCTGCCTGGCGTGGCACCTTCCTTCCAAGGGTTCACTGACAGAACACTGGCCTCTGCCTGCCCATGAATGTTGAGATCAGGAGAACGGTGAGCGGGAAACTCCAAAGGGATGCTCCAACGCCCTGGGACCTGTGCAGGATCCACGAGCTGGAGCAGGGCGGGCCAGGCCAATGACCACCCGGGGGCCACCTGAGGCCTCTCTCCCCACCCGCTGCCGGAGCGGGGTTCTGGCGGGGCTCCGCACCTGCCCACGTTTTGGATTCAGGTTGGAGTTGATCTGGGCTCTGCTGACACAGTCCTCTGTACACATGGCATCAGTGAAGCCATCTGAAACCTTGAGAATTAAAACAGCAGCAGGGGATTTCCCTGGTGGCGCAGTGGTTAAGAATCCGCCTGCCAATGCAGGGGACATGGGTTCGAGCCCCGGTCCGGGAAGATCCCACATGCCACGGAGCAGCTAAGCCCGTGCGCCACAACTACTGAGCCTGCGCTCTAGAGCCTGCAAACCACAACTACTGAGCCTGCGTGCCACAACTACTGAAGCCCACGTGCCTAGAGCCTGTGCTCCGCAATGAGAAGCCACCGCAATGAGAAGCCTGTGCACAGCCAACTAGAGAAAACCTGCACCCGGCAACAAAGACCCAACCCAGCCAAAGATAAAATATAAAATTAAAAAAAAGAAAAAAAACGAAACAAAAAACCCGCAAAACAG